CTGGCATTGTGGCCGGCCGGGAACTCAAGGGGGGGAAACCATCGGAGCGCTTCTCTCTGCCCCCCCCCACCCCACCCCCCAGCCAAAAAAAACTTGGGGGGGAGCCGTGGGGGGGTCGTGGAAACGTCTTATAAACCGGATTGCACTGCAAAAAACAAAAAAAGAACAGAACAGAAAAGAAAAGAAAAAGATACAAAATATTACAAGCCCCAAAAAAAAAAAAAAAAAAAAAGGGCAACAGATCCCCGGTCTCCAGCACTCGCCCTCCCTCCCTTTGCTCCTCTCCTGCTGGCCATCTGCCTTGGGCTTTCCTTTGTGTCTGATCTTTTACTACTGAACCGAGTGCAGGAGGAGGAGGAGGAGGGTGCAACACACACAGGGACTATGCCCAGCTCGCTTTTTGCAGACATGGAGAGGAACGGGAGCGGCGGCGGCGGAGGAGGAGGTGGCGGTGGTGGCGGGGGAGAGACCCTGGATGACCAAAGAGCGCTGCAGATCGCCCTGGATCAGCTCTCCCTGCTGGGGCTGGACAACGACGAGGCGGGCTCCCTCTACGACAATGAGCCTCGGAAAAAGAGCGTGAACATGACAGAGTGCGTGCCGGTGCCCAGCTCGGAGCATGTCGCGGAGATAGTGGGGAGACAAGGTGGGTAACGGGGTGCGGGGGGACAGCCCCTCTCTCCCCCCCGCGCCGGGGCTGCCGCGTCCCGGTCCGCCGGCCAGCGCCGGGCTTCCCCCAGACAAAGAAAGTGCAGCAGACGTGGTGTTTCTAAGGCGCATGATGCATCACTTCCAAGATGCACTTTCATCTCCCGGGGAGGAGGAGGAGAAAAAAAAAAAAAGAAAGAAATCTTTCCTTTGCTTTTTAATTTTTATTTTTAAACCAAAGTTAACACTCGTCTGCAAAGGAAACGGGGCACATCGGAGCCTGGATTGCTTTTTTATTATTATGATTATTATGATTCTCCCCCCCCCCCAAAGTTAGAAATCGTGGATGTTTGCAGGGACAGAAATGGAGCGGGGAAGTGGAACAATGGGATTGGAACAGAGCATCCGCATTGGGAATCTGGCTCATTCAATGCTGACCTCCTTTAAGTGGGGGAGGGAAAGTTTGGGGGTTTTGTGTGTGTTTGTTTCCAAAGGAATCTGTTGAGCAGGAGTGTGGAGTTGTTGGGGGGGGGGGGGGGGGTGGGCGG